ATATATATATATGATTCAGTACAAGTGTTAATGTGAAGCAGATAAAACAAGACAAAGATGTTCTTTTTCATCAAAACTTAATTTTTCTTTACACAAATAAAATGCAGAGTCAAAATGTCAGGAGTTGAAATATAAAAAGGTTGTAAGAAAAACTACGAGTCTTACAGATATTTTAAAACTTAGAAGACCAGAGAAAAAAGGACTAGAGTATGGAGAGACGCTACATACAGCAAAATAGCTTGATGCTTATTGCACTTTTTCCCCAGAAGAAGAACAGGTGTTGGTGAAGTAAACAGAGTCAGGAGCCTCACAATCAAAAAAGTTTATTTGGGTACCAGATCTGGCGAGTCAGCAAAACCAAAGGTTACTTAAAATGAGGCTCGAGGACAACAGGCACATGGAGGATTAGCTCTGGGGTCTTCAGAAACAGAGAACTAAAACATGTATGTAAACCCAGCTTAAGCAGCTGTAACACAATGAAGAGATGATGCACCAGTGAAACCCAGAATACAGGAGAAGCCTTTTAAAGTCCAGGAGCCAATCAGTGCAACAAGCTGCAGCTGCAGGCAAACAGCACCAGGATCCAACCAGAACCAGAAATGAAGGGAAAAAAAAAACCACATTTAAAATTGTAACAGATATGTGCAAATTCATGCATATTTCAATGAGCATGAAAAATAATATAAAATACATATTGCCTGCTCTTACCTGTCGACCCTCTGATGCCTGACAGGAAATATTACGATAGCTAGTTTCCTCTTCATCCTGACATAACAGAAGCCTGCCCAGCACACAATGCAAAACTTTAACAAAGATTGTGCCAGCAAATTAAGTTATATCTCATTAGTCTAAAACAATAAATACTTGGTATATTGMGATGGACCCTCACTAAACAGCTTTTTTATTCATTCATTATAGAAATGTATTTTGAAAGCAAACCTTACTAATTTAATTCACTTATGACTTTAAATAAATTAAATAGTAATAAAATACACACGTTTCTTTAACTTTAGTTTAATACTTAAAAACGTTTATCATCTTACCTCCTTTACAATGGCATGTTAAGCTAAGAAACGTTTTGCTAACTCAATTTAAAATTTAGGTAGTTTAAAAACAAGCATATTCTGTATTAACTTTCAAATTCTGCTGGAAAATATCACTTAGGCCTACGTTTTTCAWAACAGCTTGTAACAGAGAAGACGCATGGCCTTGAATAATAGACTATAGCAGTGTTTCCCAAAGTTGAGGTCGGGACCCAAAGTGGGGTCCTGAAACATCAAGGTGGGGTCCTGAAAC